CAATCTTGGTGCAAAATTATTATCTCTCTCCAGAATATCACCATTCTTTCCGCAGGAGCACTTATAGTTCTTATCTCAGTGTTTTAATTTACATTAGTCAGCGGGCAGTCACAGACATAATGGGTGAGGGTGTGAGAGCTTAACATACCAAATAGTTTGCACTATGTGATATAGTGCAAACAGTAGCCGGGAAGTTGCTACTCGTGTTTCCTCATATGTGAATTGAGTTGATTAAAATTACCTGTGCTCGCTGGCCACCGAGTTCTGATGGGAATTGGGTTTAAAGTCTAACAAACCTCCAATTGATTTAACAGTCAGTGTGGTGTAGTGGGTAAGGTACTAGATAAGCGAGGGTGTAAGGAGCGCCTAGCTGTCTGGGTTCGAACCCTTCACAAGGCTGATCCAAATATGCGGAAAACCACATGTGAAGAATTAGAGTAAGAATAAAAAGCGTTAACGTGTTTAAGATATCATACTTCGGCTTAACGAAGCTTTGAAATGGTATTCCGTTCATAGTTTCAATGACGAGATGGCGTAAAGTTTCCTTTCCTAGATGAAAAAGTCTTGGAAAGGAATGGCGGCTCTCACAATTCAGTCTATACTAAGGGAACTGACATCGGGATGAAGTTTAGTGCTATTAGCGAGCGTTTTTCCACTGTAGGAGTAAAGTGTCGTCGAAGCCTTCGTCGAATGTGCCCCTCGAACACAGCTCCAGGTGGAAACAGGTTGACGAGGAAATCATTACTGTTAACCAGGTACTGATCAACAATGGTCACTAAACGGTTATGCGAAACAGATCATTAACAGGAAAGTGAATAACCATGCTTCCTCTGGTGAATAAGTTTGATGTACCTAACCACATCATTCAATCTACGATTACAATGCAGAAACTATTAAACTTATTAAACTGTTCTACAGGAACTGCTTTTCAACGGCCTACAGGACAGAGGGACAGGTATGAATAGTCATAAACAATAGTGTCATAAGAACGTTGAAAGTTCACATGGTTTATTCCAAAGAAAATGCAACTGCGTTCACAATCAGAAATGTATATAGCACACGAGAGACTATATGTTCACATTCACCCCTGATTTTATACCATATAGTTTCCACCAGATATGTTGCAGTTAAACAAATGTAGTTAAAAAAAAGTAATTGAATCAGGTAAGAGTCTGTTGTTAAGACTCTTAAACATTTGTGTGTGTGCTCTTTTTAATTAATTTTTAGTTTGACTTGTGAGTTGATGACCATAGTCACTTGCAGTAAATAAAGTGTATGACAGATTAAAATACGTCTTTTCAAAGATGTGCCTGATACTTTGCGCCCTAAATGGCTGCAAATTACATTGTATCTCGGCACAAAAAAAATCTTCAGACTCTTCTGTGCGAGACACCTCAAGATGAATGGTTGTCATTATTAGGATCTTCAAGATGAGCACCGCTCCCATTCATTACAGCTGGTAAACCCACACAATTACCTGGTCGCTATGAGGAGTCATGTGAGGCTACGGAGGGTGGACACCTGCTCAGGCAGCTCATATCTCATCCACCTCTCATATCCACCACATCCTCTTGACATCCACCTCTCATCCACCTTATCTACCCCTCACATATTATTATCCGTTCACATCACAACAATCCCCCTAAGTCACCACACACACTTTAAGGGCTTTATATACAACCACATCCACTAGATTTCCATCCACTCTATTTCTCCTTCACATCCACTCAAGCCCTTTTACATCCACCCTTTCCATACACCAACCCCATGCTCTCTCACATCCATACCAATCTCATTTCTCATTCACCCATTCCAAATTCAGCCCATTCCATCCCATCTATCCCTCTACTTCTCAAATCTATCCAATCCTTTTTCATATCTACCATATCCCCACTTAAATCTATTCCACCTGCCACACAGATATCCAATCCACATAATACCTCTCCCGTCCATCCGTCCAATGTTACATCCACTCCATCCGCCTCGCACACTACTCGCTACCCACCACACACTGCTCACCACCCACCACACACTGCTCGCCATCCCACCACACACTACTCACCACCCACTACATAATACTCGCCACCCACCACACACCCCTCATATGAAAGTATGTGATGGGCTTGCTAATGATCATTGTGTTTCCTTCAGTGTCTCTGATAGTCTTGTTTGTGATCATGCTATCCAGAGAGATATGATGCTGCAGCTGATGGTCATTATGCTATCCTGAGAGTATGTGATGGTCTCCATAGTGATCTCAATGCTATACTAACGATGGTCGATACAGTAAACAACTCAAAACCTCTTCCAACATCGAGATGCAACACTGCCAAAATAATCTGGTTACAAACTCGTCTAGCCAGAATAGAATGGCATTAGAACTAAGAGCCTTATGATGGCCTTACTAGAACGGAAGACTTCAAAGATGCTCGCTTCAGGACACTATATTGAACGAAAACTGAATTGGGACTGTACATATAGGCACAAAAACGGGTAAGACAGGAAGTATGTAAGTAAATGATACATGCTTTAGAAAATGTTTGGAGAAACAAGTAAGAAATTTAGCATAAAAAATGGTTTGCATGGTGATCAATCTTCATGAAATTTACATCTTTTGAAGAACTATGTTGCAATTAAAGATACGTAATGGGTGTACATAAACCCCATCTACCAGCGCACTAAAATATCAAATATATTCCTGAAGTGTTGGCATGATGAGCACCTAATAAACAGCTCCCTAGGTACATCATATCTTAGCCAGGATAACTATTTTCAATATCATTGCAAGCAATAAGATTCGCTGATACCTAGACCAAACTTGTTATCACTGATGAGCTCCACGCAGCCAGAAACAAAAATACACTGATTCTGCTCCTTAAATAGACTGAGTCAAATACTCAATGCTCAAGAACTCTAGAGAAGTAGGAATTCAACTTGTAACATTCCACATAAATCATTCCCTCGTACAAGTGCAAGCTTCTTCGCAGATCGGAAAAAAGCGGATATCATCCCATTTCTTAAACCAGGACGACCACCACAAGAGGACAGGAACATCACACAGCAACAAGTATACGGGAAAACAACATCCCAAGGTAACGATCACTGGGATAAATAACATCCCACAAGACATCCATTGCGATATAGCAGCAACGCATCAGAACAGACAAGACGGTAAAGTAGCACTCCAGGTCCACAGCCTAACTCGTGCCTACGTGCCTTGCATACTTACATCGCAGGTGCCGGCAACTCAACCGCTGGCAAGCACAGCCAAGAACAGCAATCTGCTTGATTAACGCCACCCACCTCTCTCTCACCACCGACTGCCAATCCTGTCTTGGATGATAAATTTTCATAGGCGGGCTGCAATTCAACTTGGCCAGTGGATATGAAAGGTGTAATTGTTGTAAATGACGACCGTAGCGAGCACGGGCTGTAGATATTTTTTTACGTATAGAGAAAAAAATGCTATGAATTCAGATAATATGTATCGTTAGCGATTTCAAAGCTTCCGGCCAACATTCTTGTGGGAAATTCCTCAGGATCAGCAGCCGAGAGGCAAGCAGCAGCAGCAGCAACGTCTGCCTTCTATTGATCTCACTCTTGCAGTACTGCACACCTGCGCTGGCACACTATAATCAACGCCCACCAGGTTATTGAACACTGCCTAATATGCGCACGAGGCTATGTGGCCGCGTGGGTGGAGGGATGGAGGGAGCTTCGCCAACATGGGGCTACATGGAGAGTATGAAGAGATAGTAAGTCTGAAGCCTATGTGATTCGTGCGGAATGACGATGTTCTGGGCGTGTTCCACTATGGTGTTCCTGGCCACCATTGGGGCAACTCTGAGCGTGCGGAGGGATAGCAGCCCCTGAGTGTGTTCTATGGCACGTGCCATGAACGTGCCACATAGTCACTCAACACTGTCGAGGCACCAGACAACATAGTACAACATAGTATCAAACAACATCCTCGTTGAAACAAAAAACTTGATTGAGAAGAAATGAACCAACATTAAGAGATAAATAGGGAGATAGAAAGATGATTGTCAGTAACATTTCGGACCTTGCCTCAATCACTCCTCGCAATGTTGTATGCTGGTGTTCAAACATTTGTCTGTGACAATCCCGTCTCGTATCTGGGGGAGAATTCTTAATGAGTAAGTTGACGGTGTCCTCACTCTGGTCGCAAATTATGAGCCACGTCTTCAGGACAGTGTAGGTAGGGCAGACGTCCGTGCCTCTCGATAATTGCTTTCAGAATTGTCCTCCTTTATGGTCAATTATAGTAATTACTTTTTAACGGCTCACAAGACGGAGTAATGAACCCTGAAATACACAACCGAAAGAAACGTACCCCATACCAGCATGTGACATGTGATACAGTTCACCATATATAACAAGAATAACAAGGACGGTATCCTTACCACAAAAAGCTCTCTCGACACCAAGCAGAATACCCTAAGACAAATGTTGCATATACCTTTACATTTCCCCAACATGTGAAATGTGGACGTGTGGATTGTAAGCCCCAACGGTCTCAATATATGGGAAGAACATGTCTTCTCAAGGTGCTTGACAAAGAACGACAACAACGCTACATCAGTGATCATATGCTTTCTACACGCAGACCAACAAGAGAGAGAGTTTGACAGTCCAGAACGACCAATAGATTCAGTGACAATACGAGGCTAGCCATTGATTGATAAAGATTAACAGCCACCCCTAGATGTGGCACTAGCCACTGGCCCACGGTGGTGGGCTGGTGGCTGTGTGTGTGTTTAATACTGTGAAATGTAAAGCCACAAGATAAAATAAAAAATGCAAAATGACAAAAATGAAACCTAAAAACTAGTAATAATAAATTTGAACATCATTAAAATGTCTCTCTAAATCGCGAGACGTAAGATTATCACTGGCATTAAATTAAAGTGCTTGAGATTAACTAAATACCAACAAATCGGGAAAGTCAACTTTTTGAGTCGAGTTGCTGTGAGCAAGCGATGGATGCTGTGAGGGAGTACCCAACCATGGGTGCTGTGAGGGAGTACCCAACCATGGATGCTGTGAGGGAGTACCCAAACATGGATGCTGTGAGGGAGTACCCAACCATGGGTGCTGTGAGGGAGTACCCAACCATGGATGCTGTGAGGCAGTACCCAACCATGGGTGCTGTGAGGCAGTACCCAACCATGGGTGCTGTGAGGCAGTACCCAACCATGGGTGCTGTGAGGCAGTACCCAACCATGGGTGCTGTGAGGCAGTACCCAACCATGGATGCTGTGAGGCAGTACCCAACCATGGATGCTGTGAGGCAGTACCCAACCATGGGTGCTGTGAGTGAGTACCCAACCATGGATGCTGTGAGGCAGTACCCAACCATGGATGCTGTGAGTGAGTACCCAAACATGGATGCTGTGAGTGAGTACCCAACCATGGATGCTATGAGTAAGTACCCAACCATGGATGCTATGAGTGAGTACCCAACCATGGGTGCTATGAGTGAGTACCCAACCATGGATGCTATGAGTGAGTACCCAACCATGGATGCTATGAGGGAGGAGCCAAGGTCTCGGACGAAAGCGTTACAGGTAATCGGTAATGAACGCTTGCTCACCCACTAAAAACTTCTTGGGCCAACGTAAACACTGTTTTTAACCGTAATTAGGAAGACTCTCCAAGAGAAGCCGTGGTGGCTCCCGTGGGTTCTGTTTCTACACAGTACTGGTTTGAGTCAAATTATAATCTGAATTTATCTGATGACGTCATATTTCACACTAATTTTTGTCTCATATTTCTCGGACATTTTTTTCAACTTACGTGTTAATAACACCCCAATATAGATGTCCTTAAAAACTATCATATATATATATATATATATATATATATATATATATATATATATATATAAAACAACAAAGTAGTCATTAATATAGTGAAATCAGCCTCGGGCATTTAACTCACTAATAATACACTACGAAGAGCACCTTTGAGCCTCCATTGTCTTTATCCTCGAGGAAAAAATCAATGACCTTAAATAGATGGAAAAGAGTAGGGGGGCTTGGACTCCCATGATGCCCTGTACCTTCTCACAGAGTGCCTTATATTACCCAGGCCAACGTACTTTTTTAAGGTGTGCTTCCACTTTTGGTAACCCACTACTAAACCAGCATGATGAGCTGCTGAAGTCAATGTTAAGGAAGGCACTCAACCTAGACCTAGATGACCGTCAGACCAGGCAACACTACCAGTTAGACTTGGGCGGTATAGGCAAACGGACGGTAACTGAGGTCGTATTACCAGCATTCTTATCCATCTGCACCGATGCCAATTATTTAGTAGGGAAAATCCTACCAGAGCGTATGAGAGAGTAGTTGTTCATGGTCCGAAGTTCATCGATGGAGCCAGGCAGTAATAAATCACTGCACACCCTTTACCCTGACCACCAGTCTAAGAAAACCACTGCCAGGCTCACTGGGATTGTTCTATAATGGAAAAAAGACTGCCGCAACAGTTCTTGAAAATTCATCCGTTGAAAACAAGGCCCGACTGCTAGTGTTAACATCACCTTATTCTGAGGATTTTTTATTTGCTGTACCGATCTCAGTCTAAGGAACTTGAATTAATCACGACCCCTTTCGTATTGGAGAAGCTCTTCGCCTTGCCTAGTCCATTTTTAAATAGACTTTAAAAATTAAATGAACTTTTTACAATATAGTTTTGTGCTAAAACGTACTGTGTTTAATGTTTTAGAAAATAATATCTAATAAGGTTTTCGGTTGGGCAACAAAAAATATGATGTTTAACAGTGATAAATTCCAGGTACTCAGGTACGGTAAAAATGAGGACCTTAAACATAATACAAGGTACAAAACACAATAAAATCTGCCCATTGTAGGAGAGTAGCATTTGGGCAACGAACACAAAGTTAAGGTCGTCACCTGCTCTAGAATCCACTGCCCTCACAATCTCTACACAGAAGTACTCTGAGCGTCTGAGTCCAGCAGGATGTTGTGGGACGCCTGGATTGTGTGTTGTCAATTTGACGTAAATAAAGTCGGGTGTGTGTGCTCGCCCTCAATAATAGCGAAGTAGGGAATTGTTACCTGGGTGTTAACAGTAGTTAAGGGCTTGTTTGTCTTTATTTTCGGTGAGGTGCACATTCAAGACAGTTAACGCAGTTCTGTGTTTCCACGAATATTTTTTATTTGACTTTTATTTCCCCCGTACGTCAAGTATTCACAATATCACTATTTTATTTAAAAACATACTTATAATGTATATTATATATATATATATATATATATATATATATATATATATATATATATATATATATATATATATATATATATATATATATATATATATATATATATATATATATATATTATATATATATATATATATATATATATATATATATATATATATATATATATATATATATATATATATATATATATATATATATATATATATATATATATATATATATTGTGGGGTGCCACCTCTGGTTGTGTTTCTATCGAAGGGAAACAAATTCTTTCGAGACTAAAAATGCGCAAAAATTTTCTGAAGAACACCATAAGCAGACTGATTACAGCAGCAGCTGATATTTTTTCTTATAGCAAATAATGTTGATACATCTCAGACCGTCTAGATATTGATAAGAACTCGACTGCGTGTCTAAACACACGTCTGGGAGATCAGGATACCACTTACGGACCAAGATAACTACAATCAATGATTATCTCGATAAGGGCATGTGCTGTACCGTGCACCGAGCAAATAACAATGTGATCCAGGACCCAAGTAATCGGTTGGTTCTATAGGTGGTGAATCGCGCTGACCGATGTGTAAGTGTCTATAATTTGCAGGAATCTGATTAAAACGCTGTGGTCCTCTTCTGATTGTTACCTCCAAACACACACACAAACACACGGTTTCACGGAGATAAATAGTTCTTATCAGTCTGCGTCTGCCTGGTTGCCCCTAAGATGCGACCTCGCCATTCCTACGATGCTGTATGTTGTAGCAACATGGTCGGCTTGGGGTGAAGTGCTGCCAGCTACCGTGGCGGGGCTCCCGGCAAGGGTTAACACTCAGGTGTGGGTAAGTTTGGTTACCTCTTACGACCTTTGTTACGACCACTATGGTGGGTCAAACGATGGACTTGCGTCGTACGCTGTATTTTCTCGAGAAACATTATACACACACACACACACACACATTATATATATATATATATATATATATATATATATGTCGTACCTAGTAGCCAGAACTCACTTCTCAGCCTACTATTCAAAGCCCGATTTGCCTAATAAGCCAAGTTTTCATGAATTAGTGTTTTTTCGTCTACCTAACCTACCTAACCTAACCTAACTTAGCTTTTTTTGGCTACCTAACCTAACCTTACCTATAAATATAAGTTAGGTTAGGTTAGGTAGGGTTGGTTAGGTTCGGTCATATATCTACGTTAATTTTAACTCCAATAAAAAAAAATTGACCTCATACATAGAGAAAAGGGTTGCTTTATCATTTCATAAGAAAAAAATTATAGTAAATATATTAATTCAGGAAAACTTGGCTCATTAGGCAAATCGGGCCTTGAATAGTAGGCTGAGAAGTGAGTTCTGGCTACTAGGTACGACATATATATATATATATAATATGTCGTACCTAGTAGCCAGAACTCACTTCTCAGCCTACTATTCAAGGCCCGATTTGCCTAATAAGCCAAGTTTTCCTGAATTAATATATTTACTATAATTTTTTTCTTATGAAATGATAAAGCAACCCTTTTCTCTATGTATGAGGTCAATTTTTTTTTTATTGTAGTTAAAATTAACGTAGATATATGACCGAACCTAACCAACCCTACCTAACCTAACCTAACCTATCTTCATAGGTTAGGTTAGGTTAGGTTGCCGAAAAAGGTAGGTTAGGTTAGGTTAGGTAGGTTAGGTAGTCGAAAAACAATTAATTCATGAAAACTTGGCTTATTAGGCAAATCGGGCCTTGCATAGTAGGCTGAGAAGTGCGTTCTGGCTATTAGGTACGACATATATATATATATATATATATATATATATATATATATATATATATATATATATATATATATATATATATATATATATATATATATATATATATATATATATATATATATATATATATATATATATATATATATATATATATATATATATATATATATATATATATATATATATATATATATATATATATATATATATATATATATATATATATATATATATATATATATATATATATATATATATATATATATATATATATATATATATATATATATATATATTATATATATATATATATATATATATATATATATATATATATATATATATATATATATATATATATATATATATATATATATATATATATATATATATATATTATATATAAATATATATATATATATGTCGTACCTAATAGCCAGAACGCACTTCTCAGCCTACTATGCAAGGCCCGATTTGCCTAATAAGCCAAGTTTTCATGAATTAATTGTTTTTCGACTACCTAACCTACCTAACCTAACCTAACCTACCTTTTTCGGCAACCTAACCTAACCTAACCTATGAAGATAGGTTAGGTTAGGTTAGGTAGGGTTGGTTAGGTTCGGTCATATATCTACGTTAATTTTAACTACAATAAAAAAAAAATTGACCTCATACATAATGAAATGGGTAGCTTTATCATTTCATAAGAAAAAAATTAGAGCAAATATATTAATTCAGGAAAACTTGGCTTATTAGGCAAATCGGGCCTTGAATAGTAGGCCAAAAAGTGAGTTCTGGCTACTAGGTACGACATATATATATATATATATATATATATATATATATATATATATATATATATATGTCGTACCTAGTAGCCAGAACGCACTTCTCTGCCTACTATGCAAGGCCCGATTTGCCTAATAAGCCAAGTTTTCACGAATTAATTGTTTTTCGACTACCTAACCTACCTAACCTAACCTAACTTTTTCGGCTACCTAACCTAACCTAACCTATAAAGATAGGTTAGGTTAGGTTAGGTAGGGTTGGTTAGGTTCGGTCATATATCTACGTTAATTTTAACTCCAATAAAAAAAAATTGACCTCATACATAATGAAATGGGTAGCTTTATCATTTCATAAGAAAAAAATTAGAGAAAATATATTAATTCAGGAAAATTTGGCTTATTAAGCAAATCGGGCCTTGCATAGTAGGCCAAAAAGTGCGTTCTGGCTACTAGGTACGACATATATATATATATATATATATATATATATATATATATATATGTCGTACCTAGTAGCCAGAACTCACTTTTTGGCCTACTATTCAAGGCCCGATTTGCCTAATAAGCCAAGTTTTCCTGAATTAATATATTTTTCCAAATTTTTTTCTTATGAAATGATAAAGCTACCCATTTCATTATGTATGAGGTCAATTTTTTTTATTGGAGTTAAAATTAACGTAGATATATGACCGAACCTAACCAACCCTACCTAACCTAACCTAACCTATCTTCATAGGTTAGGTTTGGTTAGGTAGCCGAAAAAGTTAGGTTAGGTTAGGT